CGTGATCTTGTACCTGACAAGTGGCGGTGTGGAATGTGGTGTGATGTGTGGCGTAAGGTGAGCACTTTGCATCCCCACGAGAGGGTGATAGAATCACAGGGAGATAGACACAGGGGAAGACAGGGGCACACACACGCACGCACACGCACACACGCACGCACACACGTGGGGACAGTAAAGCAAGTGTCCGCACCTCTCAATGCCCCAGTTCTTGTTGTATCCTGAAGGGAATTCGTAGTGCGTTGTCGGTATGCTTGCAAGCACCCTTGGGTACACAGCAGTCACAGTGAGTGATGGCGTGGTGAGTCATGGGCGTGCTGGAGTGCGACTAGAAGCACGGTCGAGTGGCATCAATTGTGAGCGTGCACACATGGCGGCAGCCACGTCAATCAAGAGCGCATGTGCGCGTGTGTGTGTGTGTGCTTACTGCTCGTTGTATGCCTGGTCGCTGACGCGGCACACGGACATTTGAAAGTCGCGGATGACCTCCTGTGGTGATGGGGAGGAAAGAGGCAGGGGAGAACGTTGGTGTTGGTGGGAGACAAGCACGCTGGAATGCAGCCACATGTACACAGACACAGACATAGACACACACACAGACACAGGCACAGACAGACACACACAGACGCACTCGAGACAACGCATGTGCTGCAATAATTGAGAGCGCACCCGCTTCATGTATCGCATGTACGAGTCTGTGACGTCCGGGAACGACGCCTTTTTCTTCCACCTGGGTAGCTCCTCCTCCTCCACCGCCGTCTAAATGCATGCAGGCAATCGCAGCAGCGATGGTGGCGGTGGCGGTGGTTAGTGTCGGGGATGGTGTTGTTGCAGTGTGGTGTGGGATGATGAGGGATCTACGTGATACAAGGACAACGTCACCAATACATTGTCTTCACCTACACATGCGCGCGCATGTACTGGCATGCAGACGTGTAAAATACACTCTCTTTCCTTCAAGTAGAGCGCATCAAGATGAACAAGATTAAGATCAACGTCGGCCCAGAGGGTGGTACCTTGTCGCCAATCATGGTGCTTGGCACGGGGTCGATGCCAAGGTCCTTGAAGAGCTTCTCAAACTGGTCTGTGATAAAGTTGCCGGCAAGCTTGCTGCGACGTACACCTGCAGCCACACACACACACACACACACACACACACACACACACGCGCGCGCGCGAATTTGATTACCGATATCGTCATGATCATCATGATCATCGTCATTGTCGTGGTTAGAGAGTGTGCGGTTGTCGGCGCTCGCGGACAACAACAATACGCCCCCACACCGCCAGCCCTTCCGTGACCTTCCAACCCCCTGCTGGTCTCACCTTGCGTGAGGACGTAACCGTCGTAGACGGGGGCGACGGTGGTGTACTCCGCACCGGAATCAACCACTAGCGACGTGCCGCGCCCATTCGCAAAGCTGCACACACACACACACACACACACACACACATGCACGTGAACATGTGAGCACGAGCATATGTTTGCACGTGCACATGTGGAGGCAAATCATAGCAACAGACCTGCTGACGACGGGTGATTTGACCATGAAGAATGCGGGGACATTGAACTTCTCAAACACGATCTCCGTCATGCGTTGGCGGTCGGCTTTTGTGTTCCACTGCACGCAGCACGTGAGCACATACGCGGGTATGTACACACAGGGGCACACACGCAGACACATGCACACATGCAGACACAATTACGCAGACACACAGCCACACAGACATGCACGCAGACAGATGCATGTGTGCGCCATGTAGAAACAGCCGTAAGTATGTGCAAAGGCAATCATCAGCGGCATGGACAACAGACACTCGCATGTGCGTCTGCAGTGAGCGGTCTGTGCTAGACATTCAGGGATAACAAGAGGCATCGGCACGCCGTACCGCGGGCTCGACGAGCATGAGGGGGCGGTCTTTCGGGTCGCAGTTGAGGGAGGAGGTGTATGTGTGCTCCAGCAGCGTCTCAATCACATCCCAGTCGTCAACTGCCCCCGCCACCAAGAGCAAAGCAATAACCATGAGGGAAAGCACGTGTCAGTAACACATGTTTGTGCGCGAGCGACATCGTCGGCATATGTTCAAAGTTACACAAAAACGTGGCGGTACACGCACATTTGCGCAAATGCAGAATGACACAACACACACACACACACACACACACACACACACACACACACACACACACACACACACACCACACACACACAGACACACAGACAAAAGTTGAGCAGCAACACAGCACTGCCATCCCCCACCCTGCCTGAGCACGTACCGAGCCCGTTCTTGATGGGGTTCTTGAGTTCACGACCTGTCTTGGGAAACGTGATGCGAGACGTGCCCACGCTGTACAGTGGTCGCTTCTCTGGAACACATTCAACAAACAGCCGAAGAGTCAGGGTAAAGTCATGCGGTAAGCGGTTAAGTTCTGGGGCATGGCAACAGCGTGCGTGTTGCAGTTGCGCCCTCGCTCACCACCACGCAGAAACACACAGAC